AAAAGAGAATAGAAAGTGAGCCTGAGTTGCCACTCAAAATGAGACTAAGGGGAGCACAAGAGTTAAAACCTCATGGGGAGGTAGAACCAACCCATGACACTGAATAAGTGGGAGATGCAAAAGTGGCAGAGGTCTTAATAAGTTTGTGTGTACTGGCATTTGTATGGAAGAGCCCCCATGTGGGTGTGGTGCTTGTAGGTATTTTTGAGACTAAACTCACGGAGCATTATGGTGGGTAACCTAGGAAATGGATATTAATTAACAGGAAGACTGGTTAAGGGGTTACCTATAAGTAAAACGGAGTATTCTTTCATCTCTTTGCAGGGATAGATAAAACTGATGATCATACTACTGTTAATAGTGATTGTGAGAGTATGAAAGTGCAGTCATAATACCATATTCAAGAAATCAAGTGAGGTGATCATAACCAGATCAAAGTGGATAACGTTGGTGATAGATTTGAAGCTGTATGGTGTGCTGTCAAATTGGGGAATGAATAGTTTAATCTGAGGAGTGTTAAAGAAAAGGTTGTTAGGAGATATTTAGAAAATGACAAGTACTTAAGATGGTTATATTTCTTGGAGACTTCTACAATAGAATATCAATGGAATGAAATGAATAATTATTTGAAGGTTGTGGAGTTGTTGCAAACCAAGCTGAAGAGAGCAGTAGTACCCATAGTGGGGAAAGCTATAAGTGTAATGTTCGGAACTGTATCTGAAAATGGCATAAAAATAATCAGGAGAAAGCTGAAAAATATAGAAGAGGATCAGAAAGTTTTGGCCCAAAAGCATATCGATTTTAAACATAACACGTTTGGAATTAGCCAAAAACAGGGCCACTATAAACTGGCTGGTTAATAATATGGAAACCCTGCGGAAAGAAGTGGGAAATGTGACAGACAGGTTGATGAAATTGAATAGTTTTGTTGAGCAGTATTTTCATTTGATAGTGATCATTAACAAGGTTCACCAGACTAGTCAGTCATTAATAACTACTGGAATATGTAAGAACACAATTAGATATGTTGTCCTTGGGACATTTATCTTTATATATTTATCTTTGTATAGTGAAAGTCATCTTAGAAATATATTAGTAGACATACGAACAAGCTTATCGCATTATTTGAGGTTGCCAGTTGACCCTACTGAAGAATTGTGGAAGCATTATAGCATATTGGCTTGTGTTACTTTGTTAGAAGATGATAAGCTTGGTATTGTTATCTGTCCCCTTATTGAATAGGGATAGCACCTTTGAGGTATATTAAGTAAAGAACTTACCCATCCCATACCCCCACCCTAGTAGACCAGAAACTAAGACTGGTTGCTCGATATAAAATTGAAACTGAATTCCTCGTTTTGAACTTGGCTTGAACAAAATTCATGCTATTGTCAAATGTAGAAGCAATAAAGTGTAAGAATGATACATTAGGGTCTTGGACCTCTGCAAGTCCCATATATGTGACGGGTAACCACAAGTTGTGTGTACTCAAGTTATACAAAGGGAATAATATGAGTAATTGGGTTGAGTTGTGGAAACCACTGGTTGAAGAATTTCCTGAGGCCTCGTTGTGAAAGATATGTAAATTGTTCGGACTAGTTGAGAGAATTTATTTGGACCAACTAAGGGACGAATTCAGTGTGGAAGGGGAATTTGAGGATTACAATGAACTGGTTGGTTACGATTAGAATTTTATTGATCATAGTGGTGGCACTATCAGCAGTATGGGTGCTGAAAAGACATAGGAAAATGTTAATCAGGCAAAGAGCACGAGCAGGAGTATGCAAGAGTGAAGGGGAAGGCCCAATTAGTATCGGAGGTGAAAGCATAAATGAACCAGCACCAACAATTGAAACAAAGAAGGAAACCCCCACCTGTGGATAATGGTTCAAAAACTTTTGATGAAGGACTAAAGACTGTTGCTAAAGCAAAAGCAACTGCTCGGAAATAAACTATAGATTGAATTGATCTAATTGATAAGGAATGCTGAGAGCTCCAGTTAAATTAATTTCTGCTGCATGATTAGTAGAAGAAGGAACTCATATATAAAAAGAAAAAAAAAAAGAAAAAAAAAGAAAAAGAACATTTTGCATGCCTACAGAAGAAGAGAGAAGGACATTTCCTGTTACTATTGTATATTTAGTAGGAACATTGTGCATGAATTGATTTTAACCTTATCAATCGAAAGGTAGGTTTACGTGTCATTTATGAGTAAATGACAAAGTCATGGGGAGTGATGTGACATTATTGGCTATAGGCAGATGGGCTGACCTAGAAAACACTTATCTCAGGTTGAGATAACATTTAAATCTTGACTGGAGTGTTCTGGCCTGGATGCACTTAAATCCACTGGTTGAGATAAAATTGTAATTGATATGGACAACAGATGTAGATTTCTAAGTGTATATTAAAACTATGCCAAAAGTAATCGCTGTCCGGTGAGAGAGTTGTTTTTTATGAAGTAATTTTGGGTGGTTGAGATTGATGAAAAACATGTTTCATTCAGGCTTAAAACAGGACGTTGATTTGGATAATAATTTTTCACTTGAAGATAATGATTAAAGGAAGTGTCGCATTTGGCCTGAAAGAAAAGAGAATTAAATATTTTTTATCTTTTTCTAGAGATTTGTTTTCTTCATAAAATAAATCCATACAGCCATTTCTTGATGCTTTTGGTGGTGTCCAGCAGAAACCGGATGATCTTTTCCATAAATTGAAATCACCTAAAATTTAAAGTCAGTGAAGAGCCTTTTAGTATAGTTGAGATAGATAGCTTTTAGTTACGGTTTAGACTGCCCTTGATACGGTCCCTAGAAAGGGATTGGTCAACTGGATCAAGTGACACCCCAAAGAGAGTAGTAACAGGTTGTTTCTAAGGAAGTTAGAGCGAGGAGAGGAAGTAGCAGCTATGAGTGGAAGTCAGAGATGCCAGAGAAGGCAAGATGGAGTTTGATGGGTGGATTACCCTCTCACTGCCATTAAGGGTCTGGATAATTGCCCAAAATTGGAAAATCTCAGTTGAGACAAAGGAATGATTGATATTTCTATGCCAGTCAGACCCCCACCTCATTTTGGGTGAAGTATTATAAAAACTGGGCATTTTTAGGCTTTCGGTGAGAATAGGGCTGCAGGTTGAGCAGAGTGGAACCACAGGTCAAGCAGAACAGATCAGCAGACTCCAGAGTAGTCCAGCAAAATCCACAGAAGAACTCCAAGAAAGAGTTATCACTTAGATTTGAATCAGAATGTGCCTAAGAACTGACTAGGCTACCTCCTGAACCCATGATCATGTACCAACCTAAAGTCAACAATTACATGCCCAGAGTGAGCAACTAAGAGCTCAAGTCTTAAGGTATAATCATCCATCACTCCTGCAGTTCTTTTTTGAAGCTTGTATTTTTTCCAATATTACCTTGTATAAACAATTTGTTAAAGTTGAAAAGAGTTGTCGTCTCACTCATTATATAACCATCAAAGCTGCCGTTAGCCGTGGTATACCAACTTTTGTAGCAGATTTCTGGTTGTTTGAGATCAGTCACAATGTCGGCATTCAACTGGACTTTTTGACAACTATAGAAGTTACTGCAACTAATGGTTGATGGAAGAAATCCAATATTGATGGCCATTATCGGATACCTTTAGCTCATTGGTTGACTGGATGGCATTATACATAGGCTTTTTCTCTATCAACGAAAACTGCTGATACTGGTTCCTTTCGGATGAACGCCTCACATATCAAAGTCTCAAGTCGTACTAAATGATCTGTAGTAGTACTTCTATTGTTTCTAAACTCTATTTGATACTTGGTAATCAGGTTGTTGGTTTCCAAATACCAGATTAATCTATTGTTTATCATTCTTTCGAATGTTTTGCTTATACAACTGTTCAGGGGTATCACTCTGTAGTTTGAAGGTTCAGTAGATTTGTTCTCAGGTTTATGATTATCAAGATTGTTTGTAGGATCTTTTGTGAATTTGGGTATTGAAATTTTTTCACAGTATTGATACTTCACCACTGAGCCATATATTGTTGTAGTTTTCAAGTAGATGTCATGGATATTGGTGGACCTAGGAACAACAGCAATTAAATTGGAGGTACAACATTAATTTATTTAAATAGTATATTACTTTAATCAATGTTAAAATGTAAACAACATTACAGACAAATCATTATTTAAAAAACATTAGCTGACCTTAAATAACATTAAATCATTATATGCTTTCAACATTTTAACTATAAACTGATACACAATATAGATTATTATAATTGATGACTGAAAATTTAATGTAGAGAGCTTTTTTTTTTTACAGATCTTTAAAGAATTGAACTTGAATACATTGGAATCTTTCTGAATGCAAAATTCTGTTTAAATACTGTTCTATGCAAATTTTATCTGTAAGTTTGTACAATTTACATTTGCTTAAATGAAGACTAATTTTCCTCTTCAATGAGAGTTTTCTGTATCTTGAAAACTAACAATTTTATTAAACTTCACCTTACAATCTTGGATTAAAAATACTTTTTGATAGTTTGCAGTTTTCCTTTTCATTGAGAAAAAGTACAAAGAAAGAAAAAAGATACTATAAGAAAGAATTAAAAGGATACAAGAATTATTACATTGCACTTTGATTAATCCTAATTGTAAAAATTCATGATCTATAAATATCTATTCAATTCTATTATGGTAAAATCTGTCGGCTAGTCAGCAGCATAAAAATAAAACCCTAAGTGTTAGAAATGTGAAAATTTTAACAGTGTTCTGGTTGATTTTATTAGACTATATTAATATTTTAAAATAGTTTAGCTATATATTTAGTTATTTTATAGAAGTATTTTTCACTTTACTTTTTAGGGATTATTTCAAGTATACAATATATAATATTCAAAACTTTACCAAGTAATGAAGGGTTACTAAACAGAATTCAAGAAAATAAATGCTTAAACAGAATATTGTACATTAATATAGTAGATATTAAAGGAAAAATAAATGCTATACTGACCGCATTGTCAGGTAATTTGAGATCCACTTCTCCTGCACAGTCCATACTATGAAAATATTCACTGAAACTTCGGCTGATTTTGGCTATAAGTTTAGTCAGAGGTTCCAACCATTGTTTTTTAGCTATTTCAATTTGTTGTTGATGATTTTCTACATCCACTTTCTTAGACTTCATTTCTTCTTCCAGATTTTGGATTGTTTTTTGTCTTTGATAATATTCCTGTACAACCTACAACAAACAATAAATCTCATGATAATCACTACAGTACAGCACTAAAAGGTCCCTGTTACCATACCCTAATAAGGAGCCACTTGTTTGTAACAATATCTAGTAAAAAACATTTTTTGTAAGAATTACCTGCACACCAACTTAAAATATTACTGCAACATCTGAGGCAATAATATTAAGTTTGTAGTCTGATATTTTCAAAGAATATTTTTTCTTTTAACAAGAAAATGTATTTATTTATCATCACAATGTTTTGATTAAGGCATATAACTTGATGATATATATAAAAGTAAAAAAAAAAAAAAAAAGAAAGAAGAAATTCCATAATATATTCGATAATCCCATTTATTCAGATGGAAATACACAAAACATACAAAAGAAAAACAGTATCTCCAAGGTAAATTTACAGTGGAAGGAATCAGAATCAAGAATGAAGCTGCCACAAACATAAAATCAGTAAAAGACAATATCATAAATGTGATTATAAACAGAAAAAAGTTTTTTTTTTAACCCAACAAAATTTAACTTTAAGAAGGTTAGAAAATGAACCATTCAAACTTTTATGGAAGAAAATAAAGATGAGAATCATGAGAAAAAATACTTAACTAGTAAGTGAAAAAAGTTAAAAATCTTTACCTTTTCTTCAGTGTGAAAGCGACAATCTGCTCGGGCTTGCAGAGCATGAGTAACATCATCAATTTCTTGAATTGTTGTAGGATACTTTTCAAACTCCTGTGGAAATTTACAATTCAATGTCACAAATAGTTTTTAATCATCAAAATGCTATGTCTGCAACAAATGATAGCTTTTCTAATCTCTTCAATTTTTTATTTTCACAAAAAAACAAACTGACTTTTCACTTTTTAAATGCCTGCAATATTCCATTCAGACTGAACAAATTATCTTGATCTATGCTGCCAATTTTACAGATCATTTGAAAAAATATAATTTGCACCAGCTAACATTTTCTTGAAAAGGTCAGACTACTCATTCAAATCATTAAAGATTCATTTCTCTATTGACAAGCAGAATCAAGAGGCTAAAAGATTTCACATTGTCTTAAAATTTGTATTTATACAATTCATGAATAATTTAAGCAATCAACTTTATATTCATAACAGACAGCAATAATTAACTATAACAAAATCTATCAAACTACAAAATAACATATATAGGTGAAGCAATAATGAAAGACATTCAAGCAAGATAGATACTTACTTTTCTATAATACTCTGACAACTCTTCATTTTTTGGTGTGTTTGTAGCTTTTTTAGCAACATCTAAGAGCTTTTTAGCTAAATCTTTTACTGTTTTTATATTCTCTTTACATTCCTCAAGTTTGTGCTATGTAATACAATAAATAAATTTGATTAAGTAAAAATGAATAGGGAGAATGTAAAAACAAATGAATAGGCGCAGAAAAAAATGAAATATATATTGATCCAAACAAAATAGTTTTAAGATATTCTTTTAATTTTTATATTTACATCTTTAAAAATTACAGAATTTTGCCTTTTCATGTATAAAATTTACAATCTTGAATACAAAACAAATACATCAGTAAATTATAATCTTCAGCTGATAGTGTAGAGCAGACATATTTCCAAATTAAAAAATGGCAAATTGATGAACAAACTTTAAATCTGATTTTATATATTGGTATAATTGCTACTAGTTTGATTAAAAAAAATCTAATTTAGTAACAAATAATTTTAAAATTATTTTCTCAGATTATGCTACATAACATTGAAAATTTTAATGAATATAAAACTATAAGACAGTCAATGAGAGAATGGATCTGGTTCTATTACATTGAAACTTTATATTTTATACATAAGCAGTATCATAAAAAGAAATGACAATTACATTTAAGCACAGTGGAGTTTATCAAGAAATCTTCATTTTCTACAATTGTTAGGAAAAATGATAAACACAAGCAAATATAAGCAAGAAAAATGCAAAGATAAAATGCACTTTATGATAAACTTACCTCCATTTTTTGTAAAGCATGCATTGTTTCCCGATAAGTTTCCTCTATTGTGGCTTTATGCTGTGTGGCCATTGTGTAATTAAGGCTTAATTCAACTTTTTTCTTACTCAGCTGTAGACATTTCTTAAAAGAAAAACCGTTTTTGCATTAAAACAAATTGTAAATAAAGAAAAAACAATTGTAATATCTGCACATAAGCTGTCTATATTTCTGAGATGAGGTATTATGTACATTATTCAGACTATTGTCCTCATCTTTGTAGTCATATTTATTACGTTTTGGCCGGTGGTCGGAATTTCGAACTGAACCCTTTATTTCGCTCACTGGGGTAGACTGTTCTATGTTTAATGGATGTCTGTTATTAGTTATCTCCTGTTAATTTCCCTCTGAAAGTTCTCCACTGCCTTAACCAGGTATTGAACTTTGTGTCCTGTCACTGGATCTAACCAACGCCTTTATCCACTGTGCCATGTGTCCATGAGGACATCTGTGTATGAATTTCTGGGTATTATAAACCTAATGTTTCAGCAACCATTTTTACCAGTGCTCATATTGCAATTTTTTCTGTTATCATTGCATGTTTTTACCAGAGCTCATAGTGCAACTTTTTGTTGTTATTATTGCTTTTCTCTGGCACTCCTTATTACTGGTCCCCATATTGTATTCATTTCTATGCTTGGTTGTCTCAGAAGAGTCCTACAACTCATTCTTTCAGGCTTGGCACCAAGACTTCCCGTCAATTCAAGGAGAGCCCATCTGGTCACAGAGAAAGCGGGACACGCCCATGTCCGAGGGAGAATCCAGTACAATCGTTGGATAAAACAGACTACAAGCTCATATCTCCCAGAGGCTCGAGCATTTCTTCAACAGAATTAATAATAAAGAAGACCAGAGAAGGATCCAAAATGACCTGGATAAATCCTTCAGACACAAATTCGATGTAGTCAAGGCTCACCAAGTACAAAAATTAAATAGATTGAAAGATCAGAAAGTGACGCACAAGGTCCATCACCCACCAGTGAAAGCAGTAGTTAACATCAGCCAATATCAGTCAGTACTGAATAAGGGTCTTAACTTTGCCACAACCATCAGGCGAGTGCCATACTTGGACATCATTGTCAGAGTCAAGGAGGTGGGCTTGAACATTCCTCAGGCTCAGGCGGATGAACTGATATGGAAGGTGAGACAGACCTTGGAGAAGTCCAAGCCACCCAGATCTAACATAACAAAACTGGAGAGGCTGGCGATTGGATCCCTATAGAGGAATGAAAACATCATCATACTACCAGCTTGGACGTGGTGAGTTTGTTCACCAAGGTACCCATGGAGGAGGCACTCTCAGTAGTCAGAGAGAGATTGCCACTGGTAAAAATGGTTGCTGAAAATCAGGTTTATAATACCCAGAAATTCATACACAGATGTCCTCAAGGACACATGGCACAGTGGATAAAGGCGTTGGTTAGATCCATGACAGGACCCAAAGAGTGTGAGTTCAATACCCAGTTAAGGCAGTGTGACACCCTCTGGTGGTTGCAGTGCCAATATGTGACATCCTCTGGTCACGATGCCAATATGTGACATATGTC